TCAAAGAGGGAGTCCTGAAGTCCTCTTGCCCAGAGGGGACAAGAGAACTCCCGGAGGCTAAGCAACCATCTAAGCATCTTCCCATCTTCAAAGAAAATGGTCTTTCTCTTCTTCAAAACTATTTCTAAACTGGAATGAACTCCTAGCCTTTCCCCGTCACTGCTGCAACTCAGCTCAAATGCAGGAAAAATGTCTTCCCAAAATAGAGGCCAGATGCCCAGCAAAGCAGGCACCATGCTGACTTCAGGCTGACAGGACTGCCGGCCTATAGGTTCACCACAGTCAGCTCTGGGGCAGATACCTTGGTCTTGACCATGGGGCAGACCTTGACTCTCTTCCCACGAGCCTCAGGGGAAGATCTGCGGTTTCATTTCCTCTCCACCTTGGCTTCTTTTTTCACTTCACTGAAGACTGGTTATTTCCACCGAGCCCTGTTCCTGTTCTCACTGTGGCAGGCATTCTCTCAGAGTATGTAACTGCCACCTGGACTGTCCAGCTGTGGACACAGGCCTGACAAGCCCAGCACAAAAGGCTGGGAAGGTGCAGAGCGAAAGGGGCAAGACCAATTCCAAGAACTCCACATTCACCCTTACAGAACAGTTATTTATATTCTTTCATGTGTGAAGGACTTAGAATGTGAAACTGTAGGAAACATGCCTTTGTTACATAGACAAATGGATACAGAATAAACCCCCAACAAAGAACAAAACACAAAAGCTAGCCAGAACACATACGACAAAATATTCAGAAAAATGCAAAGTAAACAAGATAGCATTTTGTATTAATCAAAGAGACTAAAGTTCCCAAAAATCTAAACTATCCAGATGTGGCTTATAAAGAAAAGGAGGGCCAGGCCTTGTGGCACACACTTTTAATCCCAGCACTCGAGAGGCAGAGGCAGGCAGATCCTTGTGAGTTCAAAGCTAGCTTGGACTCACTATGTAGAAAGCCCCAGTTTCAGACAGAGAGACAGACAGACAGACAGATGGACAGACAGACACAGATAGATGGAGAAAAAAGGAGAGCCAAAGTAAGGTAAGTGGGAGAGCACTCGCCTAGAATAAAGGAGGTTTGGAGTTAGATCCCAGGCACAGTGGAGAGGAGAGGGGGGAAGAAAGAAGGGAGGGAGGAAATGAGAGGGAAAGGAGACACTACTATAGTAGACAGAAAAAGTCACTGATAAAACTTTAAGAGAAGGTATAGATAGGTCTTGGGGATCAAGATAGCTCAGTGGGTTATGGTGCTTGCTTTAGAGTCAGATAACCTGAGTTTGATCCTGGAAGCCCACACCAGCTCCCAAAAGTTGCTTTCTTACCTCCACACACATATAACACAGCACAACACACAAACACACACACACATACACATGCGCGCGCACACACATCAATGTTTTAAAAAGTGCGTAAGTCTCAATAGACTTGAAAGAACATTTCTCCGATGGTCCAATAACACCACTTGCAAAAATCTAAGGCAACAATCAGAGATGAAGACAAATATTTGTGTATAGGAAACTTATCACAAAACAAAAATAGAAGTAAAAAAAAAAAAAACCATAGTAACAAAATATTCTGCTGTGGAGTACTATGTAGCTATAAAGTCATGATATGTTTTACAAATAAACAAAAAAACAACAACCCATAACCATGGTGGAACAACATGCCTTTAATTCCAGAACTTGGGGAGCAGACGCAGGCGGATCTTTGTGAGCCCAAGACCAGCCTGGTCTACAGTTCCAGGATAGCCAGAGCTTTTACACAGAGTAACCCTGTCTCAAAAAGCAAACAAACAAAAGAATGTTTTCAAAATTAGAAAACAAAGAGGCAGATGGATCTCTGTGAGTTCAAGGCCAGCCTGGTCTACAAATTGAATACCGGACAGCCAAAGCCAGAGAAACCCTGTCTCGAAAACAGAAAAAATAAAAATTTAGAAAATGCTTAAAATTGTCAAGAGAAACTCAAGTGAGTATGTTTAATCCCAGCATTCAGGAGGCAGAGGCAGGCAGACCTCCGAGTTCAAGGTCAGCCTGGTCTACATAGCAAGTTCCAGGACAGCCAGAGCTACACAGAGAAACCCTGTCTTGGGGGAAAAAAAGAGGGGAGGGGGACTGGAGAAATGGCTCATAGGTTAAAAACACTGGCTGTTCTCCCAGAGGATGCAGGGTTCAATTCCCACCACCTACACCCACATGGCAATCTGTAACTCCAGTTCCAAGGGATTCAACACCCTCACACAGACATAAATGCCAGCAAAACAATTAATTCTCATAAAATAAAATAAATCAATTGAAAAAGAAAAGCTCAGTTTACAACCAGTCTGAAGAGTATTATTTGTTAAAATATATTTAAGTATGTCAAATTATTTTCTAGGGAAAAAAAAAAAATCACTAGACCATAGTACAATGATTTTCTATCCTTCAGTAATTTCCAAATGTGCCTAATTAATATATATTACTTTATAATCAAGAGGAGAATGTCACTCCCAACCCTCTTTTTTTTTTTGCAGGACACTTTTTTTTTTTTTTTTTTTTTTTTTTTTTTTGGGATGAAGATTTGGTTTTGAGACTATCTCACTATGTAACTGAGACAGGTCTTGAATGTACAATTCTATCGCCTCAGCCTCACAAGGGATTGTAGGCATATGCCACCATGCCATACCTCATTATTGTCTGTAAAAGATAATTTGGAAATATGTATCTAGGACCTTAAAAGCAATTCATAGGGCTGGCAAGATGGCTCAGCAGGTAAAAGCTCCTGCCAGGCAGGCCTGACAACCCGAGTTTAAGTCCCAGAACCTACGATGGAAGGAAGAATTCCCAAAAGTTATCATCTGACTTCTATCCTCACGCCCTAACACCTGTATGCTTGCAGTCACACACATAATAAAAAAAATTTTTTTGGCTGGGCGGTGGTGGCACACAAAAATAATAGAATAAAATAAAATAAATTTTGAAAATAAAAAACAATTATAACCTATGAGTCATTGAGTTCAATTTGAAGTTTCTATTCTAAGAAAAGTTCTGAGAATGTCACAGTGAAAGGATGTACATGGTGGCATTGTTGGTGAGGGCAAACAGGAGCCAAGGCTGTGAGAACAAGGTGTGTGAGCTCAGTGTGGGCTGCCAGCTGCTCCTTGGTTACCATTTTCTCTCCGTTTGTCAGCCTCAGTGTGGCTGACTGGGTGTGCGGAAAAGCTACGTGGTAGGTGTAGGATGGAGATGGGCTCTCAAGTCAGAATTAGCTCAAAGTTTTCTTCAGTCTCTGGTCAGGCGGTGGCCATTAAGTCACTGCTCAACCCCCTTCGATGTGGGTGAGAACAGCGCTTACCACATGGGCCTGTGGTGCAGATTTAATGAAAGTGGAAGCCAAGCATTTAGCACTATCCGCTCAGTAAATGCTAACCTAAGTTTATCTCATCAGTGACTCAGATCTGAGATCACTTGTATACCCCCAAAAGTGTGAGGGGCAAAAATCTAAGGAAGGCGGCTAACCTGTGGTATAAACCTGGTCACGAGATGTGCCTGCTCTTGTCTGACGAGGGCATCCCACACCCCACTGTATTTACGGAGCCCCTCCTGAAAAACACGCACGCTTGGGAAAGTTGTATCAGCGCTGAGTCAAGACCACGACGCCTGGCTTTCTGGTAGAGACTCATGATCTGACCCACACAGAGCTGGGCAGAGGTTGGAGAGCTTGAGGCCTGAGGTGGTTTGCTCAGAACATGGATCCCAGGATTTCTAACACAGGCACCCTCTATCCTGGTGCAGACACAGCACAGGAGTGTCAGCAGATTGCTTTTGCTTCTTCCCAGGGGCAGCTGAAGTTCCCGACTGATCCCCTCCAGGTGCTCCCTGATAGGAAACAAGTACAGAGGCTGGGATCCTTCCTTGCTTGCTTCTAGAACGCCTCTTTGGAACATCCTGGACTCTCTTTGAGTCCAAGTTGGTGCCAGTGAGCTGATGTCAGGCTCTCCATACTGCAGGGGCCAGGATCTCTAGACAGCTCCACTGCTGCCAGCAGATCTAATCTCCCTCTTCCAAGGCAGATGAAATCCAATAAGGCTGCTAAGTCTACAACTTATCCCTCCAGGCCATGCCAACAACACACCAGAATTATTACTATCTCTTCGGAGTTCTTTGGGGGAACTGAAGGCTGTTTCCACAAGTTTTCAGATCTATCTGTTAAGCAGATGCTCAAGTTTCTTTCTCTAAAGCTTCACCTTTATTTAACACATGGTCCAGCTTCATGTCAGTCAGACCTGCTACTGAGCCTGTCCACTCACAAAGCCACTGACATCAGTGTCCAAGTCCCAGGGCAAAAGGAAAAGCCCCGAGTCGGCTCTGAAGTTCATCTTAACAGACCATCCCTTTTGAAACCACAGAAGGACTACAAAGAACCCCAGGCAATGGAACCCAAACCGGTCACCAAAGCTTAACATGAAACGAGAGGGGAGAAAAAAATCAGGCGGGATGGTTTGTGTATTGTTTCAATTGGGGGAAAAAATGCCTTAGTCAAATGGCTTATCCACATGTTCAGCCTAGGCGAATCCACTCTAACTTAGCAGGATGCCTGCAGGCGGTTCTCAAATAAGCAGAATGGCATCGCTCCTTACTCCAACCCCCATCCCGAGAGCCCGTTGCCCCTCTTCCCCGAAACATCTGGTCTGGACGCGAGACCCACTTTCACGAGGGAGGAGAAGTTTTAAAGAGCCTGATTTGGGCTGGGGACCCAACCGCTTCCGACGCCGTGCCACCAGCGAGGTCCCGGGAATGGAATTCCGGCAGCGGACCGGGAAGTCTGAGGAAGTGGGGAGGAGGAGTCTGGACCTCGGGCAGGTCCCGGGCTCGGCGACCCGTCCTCCCTCCCCGGCCCCCCGACGGCCGCCCCGAGCTCCCGGGCCGGGTCCAGCGTAACCGGGCGGCGGGGGTGGGCGGGACCCGGCGGGGGTGGGGTGGGGTGGGGTGGGGGAGCGGCCGGGAAGGCGGCAGCGCCCGTCCGTCTCACCAGCACTAGGGCGAATCTCTCCTCCAGCTCGCACGGCTCGGGCATCGGCGTCTTGCCGGGCGGCAGCAGCAGCGGGACGGAGGGCGGCTCGCCCGGGCCGCCCTCGCTGCTCTCCAGGTTGCCCATCGCGGCGGGGCCTCCTCCGGGCCTCAGCCCTCCACCTCGTCGCCAGGGCCCTCTGCCGCGGCGACCTGGCTCCTCCCTCAACGCCCGCTCCCCAGGCCCGATCCCTCCGCCCCTCAGGGGGCGCCTCGCAGTCCGGCGGGCGGGCGGCGGCGGCGGAGCGCTCGACGCGCCGAAGCGCGCCTTATTCATGCAGGCCACGCCTCCCGGCCGGCGCCCCGCCCCGCGGCTGACTGACAGCCGCGCCTCCCAATCACAGAGCCTCCCGCCCCCCGCGGCCTCGCGCCTGGCTGCGAGCGCGCCCTGGTGGCCTGGACGGGCATCCAATCGCCGTGCTTGCCGGAGAAGGTCGGCCGAGGGCGCGGACCGCGAAGTTAACCGCGGGGCGTGCAGACCCCACGGAGACCACCCTCTGTGGCTCACACCTGGAATTCCAGCCCTGGAGAGGCTGCGGCAGGAGGGTTGCTTGAATCTGAGACCAGCCTGGGCTACATAGCAAGACTCTGCCTCGGGAAATAAATGATTACTGCCGGGGCTGGAGATGGCTCAGCTGTTCAGAGCACTGGCTGCCCTTCCAGAGGACCCGGGTTCAATTCCCAGCAACCACGTAGCTGCTCACAACTGTCTGTAACTCTATTTCCAGAGGATCCAACATCCTTGCAAAGATACACACATATAAGCAAAACGCCAGTGCACATATTAAATAAGATGATTGGGCTGGAGAGATGGATGGCTCAGAGGTTCTTCCAAAGGTTCTGAGTTCAATTCCCAGCAACCACATGGTGGCTCACAACCATCTATAATGAGATCTGGTGCCCTCTTCTGGTGTGCTGGTGTATGTGCAGGCAAAACAGTGTATACTTAATCAATCTTAAAAAAAAAAGGGGGGGGGCTGGAGAGATGGCTCCTGTTCTTCCAAAGGTCCTGAGTTCAATTCCCAGCAACCACATGGTAGCTCACAACCATCTATAAGGAGATCTGGTGTCCTCTTCTGGTGTACATGCAGACAGGATATTGTATACATAATAAATAAATAAATCTTTTTTTTTTTTTTAAAAGATGATTACTGCGTCCTAATGTCTGTTTCAGGCCTGGCTCACAGAAGGCCTTTATTATCCAGTGACGGTATCTGTTTTCTACAGACCTTCCTTAATGCACCTGGAGCCTTAAACAAACACTTTCTTCTCCAGGTCTCAAGTTCCTGCACAATGCAAATAGAACAGGAAAACAGCATAGCTAGAGAAAGTTAGACTATGGAAATGGCTTGGGTTTGGTAGAAAGTGATTTGTCAGGTACACACACACACACACACACACACACACACACGTGCGCACACACACTCCTGCCTGCAGTATTCCAACTCTGCTGAAATGAAGACTAGGGGCTCACTTCCAGACCCTGGAGGTCTCATGGACACTGCGAATGTGGTAAAGCCTGCTTTCCGGAGAGGTCAGGAGATTCAGTGTAGGTCATACATGACTTTACCTGGCCCTGGACTTGGCATTAGGAAGGATGGGATTCCATTCAAAAAAGACTCATGAGGGAAATCTATTTGAACCAGGCGTCCAGGGAGGAGGAAGCCTTCTAGCAGGCAGGCGGAGACAGGTGAGAGACATTTACAATAAACACCCAGAAGCACAGTTCATTGGGCTGTGTGAACAGAGAGAAAGGAGGACCATGCTCTGCCTTGTCCCCACTGCTGAGAAGATGGACATCTGTCACTTCTGTCCGCCTTCATCCTCCTTCTTCTGGTGGTAGAACCCATTTTCTTTTAGGGAACCACTAGCTCCCGTTTTCGACTGAAATGGAGCTTGATATGACCCCTGTTAAGCCGCAGGATCTGTCCCAGGGCTGCCCAGTTTTAGAGACCTAAGCCCCGCTGAGTCAGGGCTTTTAAGGAAGAGTCAGGAAAGAGGCTCTGTCCTTTGGGCTTCTGAACTGTTACAATGTAAACCTACAGCTACTCTTGCTTACCTTACGATCACTCGTCACCCCCAAACCTGGCTGAGTGTGAAGCCAACGCATGGAGAACAACAGCTGAAAGATCAAGGCAGAATTCAAGTGACGTACTGAGAAACTGGATCTAACCTCTTCCAAGTTAGCACACAAATATTTTAGTTGTTCATTCAGCAGATATTTATTGACGAGATTATTACATGAGAGGGAGTGTTCTGAGCATTGAAGATACATCCGCAGACAAAAAGGGCATGCTCATTTATTATGAATACTCAGGAAACATGTAGGAGAAAGAGAAACTTGACAGGATGCCCAACAGCGTGCCTCCATCCCTGTGTGGTCCCTCTTCTTAACGTTGACAAATCAACCGAATTCATGTCTTCCTCTTTTCTTTCTCCACTACTCTAAACAAACACTTTTAATATATATATTAATGTGTTTGTGTCTATATGTACACAAGTGTACCTGAGGAAGCCAGAAGAAGGTGCTAGCTCCCCTGCAGCTGGAGTTACAGGAAGTTCTGGGCTGCCTGATATGGCTGCTGGAAACTGAACTCAGGTCGTCTGGAAAAGCAGAGCCTCTTTGCTGAGCCACCTCTCTAGCCCCCTTTCCTGATCCCTTCAAAAGACACTTCTAGAGCAGAGACATAATGATAAAATTGTAGACCCATAGTAAACAAAAATGGAGAATTCAAGAGGAGAAATAAATTGCTATTCATTTATCGTGGATACTTGTATAACACGTAGCAGAGAGAGAAACTTGACGGGATGGCCAACAGCATGTCTTCCCTGTGTGGTGTCTGAGTTGCCAGAGGTTTGCTTTCGGTTGCACGTGCTTAACCAGCAGACCTATGAGCTCTAAGGATCTTCCGGGTCTCACTAGCTGACCGCTTTCACAGTAAACTCCCTGCTTACTCATAGTCATTTTTTTCCTTCTGTCATTGAAAGATTTTTATATAATAGACTCCAAACCTTAATGTCTTTTTATTCCACTTTTCCTATCTCACCTAGCTCTAATCATTCAAATGAACTGCTCTTCAGCCAGAAAGATCCATTTGTTCCAAATCATGAAGAAGATCCAGTGAAAAACAGGTGTCTCTCTTCCAGGTGTTCAAAGTTTGGAAGTTCATAGTAGATGCCCAAACTAATGTTTACAAAACAGTGCGATAAATGTTGCAATAGAAAGGTATACAAAGTTTACAAAACAGTGAGGTAAGTGCTGCAATAGAAAGGTATACAAAGTTTACAAAACAGTGAGGTAAGTGCTGCAATAAAGCACTGCTGACAAAGCTGAAGGCAAAGCCTTAGGAGAAAAGATGGCAGGCTGGGAAAGCGAGAACCCTGGAGCTCCCAGGAAGGGAGCAGGAAGGGGGAGAGGCAAAGGAAAGTAACTGTGAAAGAGTGAGGGAGGCTGAGCAACCGTAGGACGTTTAACTAGGCTAAAGGATAGAGTGTATATGGAAAGAGAACAAAGGCAGGTTGGCTCCCGTTGAAGGGAAATCTTGGACAGGGCTGAAGAATTCACACTCTGCTCTGTAGATAATTCTGTGTCCCAGGTTAGGGTCCATTGTGAATTTGAGGCGAAGTCTTCCTCTATGGCCCAGGCTATCCTTAACCTTGTGATCCTCCTGTCTTACATTCCCAAGTGCTGTGATTACAGGTGTTTGCCACTATTCCCAGTTTAGACAGCTTTTGAATACACTCTTTGGGAAGAGTTTCCTAAGAGCATTTCAGAATCTGGAAAGGTCTTCGGAAATGGTATGAAGGAGAATGTAGACGAGCTGAACCAAATCAGGACAGAAAGATTAAACAGAAGCTGAAGAGTCATAACCAACTCAACTAGAGTTAGTTAACTATCAGATAAAGAATGGCACAAAACGCTTTATAGTAATTTTTCTAATTTTGAAACGTAAATTTATTACTGTGGCTAGAAGGCATGGGCATGTGGGCATATGGGCATGTGTGTGTGTGTGTGTGTGTGTGTGTGTGTGCGCGCGCGCGCGCGCCATGGCACAAGTATGAAAGTCAGAGGGCAGCTCTCAGGAGTCAGTTCTCTCTTTCTAGCATGTGAGTTCTGGGATTGGGTTTCAGTCATCAGCCTTGGCAGCAAGTGCCTTTATCACAGAGCCATCTCTCTGCTGTATGTTTTATGATTTGAAATGTTGTCTGTCCTCTAATTTGATCCTTACATCCTCATCAGAGGGACGCATCCTTACCCTAATTTTGTAGGGGAATAAACAGACTAAAAGGCCACAGTCAGTTAACCTGGCACTGACCCTGGGCTTTAGTTTCAATTTGCCCATATCATTCTAATTCTCTCGTAAGAAGGGAGGGAGTAATTAAGATTGAAGGGTTGAGTCTACTTTAAGAATACCCAACCGGGCCAGGCATGATGGCACACGCCTGTGATCCCAGCACGCTGTGTAGGCAGAAGCAGGCGGATCTCCGTGTGTTGGAGGCCAGCCTGGTTTTTGAGACAGGGTTTCTCTCTGTAGCCTTGGCTGCCCTGGACTAGCTTTATAGACTAGGCTGGCCTTGAACTCGGCAATCTACCTGACTCTGCCTCCCTGAGTGTTGGGATTACAGGGGTGCACCACCACACCCAGCTGAGCAATTCACGCTCATATCCACCAAACCATCTCTCCGGTCCTTCAGAATCCCTTTAATCCAGCTGCTTGCACTGACTCTTGCTTCTTCTCCATCCTCCACCCCATCCCTGCCTTCATGGACCCCACCTCCGCCCTTCAGCCTGCATTAAAGCCTCTATAATATGCATATAAGATGCAATGATATAGAATCCATATTGCTCCCAACTCTTTCTTTGGGTGTTTAGAAACATCCCCTCTGCAAGGCCTGGTGGTGCAATTTAACCTCAGCACTTGGAGGTAGAGACAGGAGGATGTCTGTGAGTCTGAGGCTGTCTGCTCTACATAGTGAGTTCCAGGACAGCCAGAAGTACATAGTGAGACCCTGTCTTGAAGGAGAAAGACAGAGAGATGCACTTCTTTCTGTGTTTTTTCTTGGAAAGGTGTGGAGGGAAATGTGAACACAGACATTTCAATTTTCTTCTTAGCCAAGTTTGGTGGCACTTGCCCATAATCCCAGGAAGAAACAAGATGATTGCCACAAATTTGAGGTCAAGCAAGTCTACATAATTAGACTAACAAGGGCTGTATAATG